AATTTCAAAAGAAAATAAGATGACATTTTTAAAGAAAGCAGACCATGACATCTTGCATTGGACAAGTGGGAGGAAGTGTTCAAACACAGGAGTTTTTGCCAGTTCTTGTAATGATTCTCCTCTGATTGCTTCAACTTCTGAACAAATTAGGCTCGGTAATAACTTCGCAGCCTGCAGCTGCGACTAATCGGTCAGAGCAGAGTTACAATGACAGAGCAGGCGTCAGGTGCCTGCAGGCGGCCAACTGAGGATGATAGTGGGGGGTGATGGATGTCTGCTCTGCCAGCTCTTGCTGAGAATGCTGACTCATTCTGCAGAATCCCAGCTTTCAGTGGGATTCTTCAATAATTTATCAGGTGTCAAAGTCCTCAAAAAGCTCAACATCCATGCAAATATTCCCAGATTCATCTTCCTTCTAATTAAGTCTGCTTTTTTCTCTCTCTGGTTCATAATGTCGAACAACTGAGTCAATCTGTGTCAACAGAGGAAACGACTCCTACCGATAATACGAGACCTGTCTCTTATAAGAGTTCTGTTCTGACGACTGCATCGTCCACTGAGAGGTAGAGACGAGTAATAAATGCAGCTTTGAACTTGAGAGCTCAGGGTCTGGTTCATTAATCAACGCTGGAGCGGCTGTGCCGCTCTGCATCGCTCCTCTTCCTCACTTGACCTCTTTAGGGAGGATTAATATGACTTTAAGATTCTGACTTTTTTCAGATTCATCCTGGGAGGAAAATGAAGGTCGTGCATTTATTATCTTTGCTTTTCTGAAGAAAAAGAAAGAGACGAGGGTTGTGGATTAACATCGAGGCATCATGGCTGCAGGTGTTGTGTTTGGCACTTTTCTAAACACTGTCTAAATTTATTCTGCTCCTGCAGCAACAGTGTTCACTGCTATTTATTTCGGGCTTGTTAGCATTCTCACAATTTGGCACCCGGTTGCACACTGAAGCGGATATTTTAGGACAAGAGCAGAAGCTTTTTGTGTGACTCAGCTTAATATTTGCCATACTGTTAATGACAATGCATAAATAACAATCAAATACTGAAAGTAAAGATTATACGATTATAAAAGTCAGACAAAATGTCAAAAGTTTTGTAGTTAAGGTGAAAAGTAAAACTTTTTGCATCATCAAGAGACATTTTTAAAGCAGTCCTTTCTTTCCCAGGTCTCCTTGTAGAACCAGAGATGTCATCCACATCTATCTTGTCTTGGAACTGTGACATACCTACACAAGAAATCCATCCCACTCAGAGGAAGTAGCAGAGTGGGAATCCTGGAGGTGGACAGTTATGTTAATCCCGAGACTGTAATGTGGGTAAAAAAGCATCTGTCAAAAAGCTTGAAAAAGCTCTAGCAGATGGCTGGAATGAGTACGCCTTCAGGTCACAACACACAGGTGGGGCCGTGGAGTCCGCAACAGATCCGTCTTTGCTGTTGTGGGAGTGCTAGTGTTTCACAATAAAGCGAGATAACACAGGTGCTGAAAAGACAACAAGGATTTAGGATTTAGCTTCAGATATAATTAAATATTCAGTCCAGCCTAATAAATAAATAAATAAATAAAAATAACGTAATCATTAATAATCTCAGATGACGGTTTTGGTAACTTTCACTCTTTAAAGAAAATTAGGTACAGAAAGCATAAATCCAATGACTTTTGACTAAATGTCTATTTTAGTAGCATTTTAAACATTTATTTTACTGATCTCACAGCACGTTTGAATAACATTTCTATTTCAGTGAATAATGTGTGAGCAAAAGACCAATCAAGGCTGCTTCTGATGCATTAAAGAGGTTTCCATCATGAAGAAAATTTTAGATGCTGCAAACTGAAGGAAATATGAGCAAATCTCATCTATTAGTCATGAGATTTTTGTGCACGTCCTTGTGTGGGACTGCGAGGGATTCTGCAGAGCTGCATGGTTCCATGTTCTCCCCATCAGCCTGCATGCCTCTCCCTCCTCCTCCCTGGATTCTTCCTGGCTTGGCTTTAATACGGTGAGTCAGAAAAGTGGGAAGGAGGCCCTCCTCCCTTGCTCGTGGAGCTGCATGGGCTCACACTTTTCACCTCCTCTCCTGCTTAGAAGCTGAAAGGCAGAGCTAGTTCCAATCATTCCCTGTTGTTCTGACTGGCTTATCTTTCATGCATGGTGCCGTTTAACTCCATCTTTTTACACAGCTTTATGATCAAAGCTGGATCATAGATCTGCAGCAGCGAACAGCCCCGGAGCACAGACTCACCGTGTTGCATAACGTGATGCTATGGTGTGCTGCTGGTGGCAGACATGAGCTGGCTCTGACTGACCAGCTGCCGGCTGCTGAGCTCTGCATCTGATCTGTCTGACATCAGATAAACACGCAGCATGCGAAGGCTCACGTGTACGCTGAGACGGAGAGTCTATGCTGCTGGAAGGAGAGGCAGGCTGCTCTCAAGCAGAGCGCTCTGTCGGTGATTCAAACAGCAGGCATTTATTTCTAATGAAAACAAGACACCACTGCTTCTTTGTTTATCTGGCAGTTTGTGTTATAACTAGTGAACATAAAATCTCAATAGACTCAATAAAAACCTTGTTTTCAATCATTCATCTCTAATGTCTTGAAGAGATCAGCTTCTTGCTGAATAACATTTTATTCCTTTAATCTTAAGGGATACTTGGTTTTAATTTAAAATATTTTATATGTTCCAGTTTTGTAATTTAATACAATTCTTAATTCTTTTAAAAAATATTACTAATACCTTTTACTAATCTGTGATCAGCCGTGCTTCTAGAGGTAAGGGCTTGTTTACTCCCTGTTGCATTGGGTGCACCACCTTATCTGTGTGATCAAGTCAGAGGTTGGGAAATTAACAGAGTGAAATCTGTGACACCTTGTGGTCTTTAAATGAATCTGTATGAGGTTTTTAGTTCTTTATTTTGCTTAGACCACAAGTGAAATGAAGTTAAGTTTAGAGATCTAATCAAATTCAATTCAATTCAATTCAAGTTTATTTATATAGCGCCAAATCACGACAAGAGTCGTCTCAAGGCACTTCACATAATAAACATTCCAATTCACAGTTCATTAAGTCAATCAGAAATAATGTTTCCTATATAAGGAACCCAGCAAATTGCATCAAGTCACTGACGAGTGTCAGTGACTTTACAGCAATCCTCATACTAAGCAAGCATACAGCGACAGTGGAGAGGAAAACTCCCTTTTAACAGGAAGAAACCCCCAGAGAATCCTGGCTCAGTATAAGCAGCCATCCTCCACGACTCACTGGGGATCGAGAAGACAGAGCAGACACACACACACACGCACGCACGCACGCGCACACACACACACACACACACACACACACACACAATAATGTGTCTATAGTTCTATTGTGATGTCTTAGTAAATATTCTATTTGGTGAGATAAACTTTATTGTATTTATCCTAGTGGATCTATAATTAAATGGGTAAACTAGCAGTAACACGTCCAACGTCAAGGAAAGCAAAAATCAAATCTAAGGTACAAAGTGAAATTCTTCCAAATGATTGGAGGAACACTAAGCCTCCCCAAGCAAAATTTAGTTTTTGTCTAGCAGAGAGGGATGTGGGTTTGAAGAAGTGAAAATGCCTTTTTTTTTAAATAACATGCAGTTGTCAGCCTTCATTAAGCACGATAGCTTAAATGAGTCATCTGGATTCCATCCAAGCAGCAAAAGGACCTCAGAGAGATGTACACTACAGGTGTCACAGTGCTAAAGGTACTAAGATGCATGTATTGTACATATTCGGTTTAAATATTCATTAAATATTTACAACCACACCAAGAAAAAACATTTTAATTATAAATAACTGCTACAGAAATAAAATGATGCATAAAGAGTGAAAACTTGGCCAACAGCTGGTTTGTTATTCCCCAAGCTCGTTGGCTCCTAATTGAAAGAATTTTTTTCTTCACCTGTGAACAAATTCATGAGAACAGTAAACAGATGTTCATCATTAGCAGCACAGGGAAACGTGGGGTCTCTTTTCTAACATGGTGGCCAAATTGTGCCTCTGACTCAATTAATGGCTGGATGGGAACGTGTGAAGGTGTTGCTGTGTGCAGGTAGAATCTGCTGGCCTCTATGATAAACTCAAATCCAGGTAGCTTTTAAATAATCTAGAACAGTCTGGTTTGATTGTAATTCTGAGAACTAATGCACCAGTTCTGGTCATAACTTTAATGGACAGAGTTTCTAAGTGCAGGTGTGGGGTGGAGGGTGTTGAGTTGGGTGCTTTCTTTGCCAGAAACATCCATCTCATCTATGATCAAAAACATCAAGTTTTTGATTACAGGGTGGCATGGAGGAAACCCCAGAGACATTAGAGAGTTGGCCTCAGAATCCCACTGGAGGAGCTGGGAAGTGTCTGGAAAGAGGACACCCCAGGTCCCACAATTCAGAGGTGAAAATAAAATGGGAGAAATGCTTTAAATTCTGAATATCACTGTTTTAGAACCCCTTTTCCTCACTAGCTATGCAGGGAGTTGGAGCGAGAGGCAGGAACAGCAACGAGACAACACACAACACACACACACACACACACACACACACACACACACACACACACACACACACACACACACACACACACACACACACACACACACACACAGGGACTATTCAGGGGCGCAAATATGGTCTGAGAAAATCTACACTTGCATGGGGAGAACCACTCAGAACAGACAGGCTGCAGCAGGGTTTCACACTGGCAACCTTCTCACTGCTTCACCATGCAGCCCAATTCAGCATATTTTTTGCATTTTTTTGCCAAAGACACTTGGACCCAAATTTATTTTTAGAGTCAATTATGATTACACGATATTAACTTAGCATTTTCTAGAAGAAAGCTGCAGTTTCAATTTATTATCCAGAACAGAAGCAAATATCAAGATTTTGTTCTACAAAAGCAAAAACTCATCAACATCTAAATAAGCTTTAATTTGACATTACCATGAATGAAACAAGAAAACGTAGAATTTTACTCTTTAAAAGTTCTTTAATGGTTCAGATGGATTTGGAAGCATTGGATCTGTATGGTCAGCAGCAGCCACACAAAACAAAACAAAACCAACTCATCAAAAATAAAATACAAAGCCAAGACAACAAAATAAACAATAATAATAAAAAACATGTAGGCAACATGAAGTCACAGTAAGAAGATACACAATAAAAGCCTCGATGCAACAGCATGGTGGAAATCAAACAGGGAGTTTTCTTTTTAAGTTCAAAAATTATCACACACACACACGCGCGCGCGCATGCATGCCCACACTCACCCATTATTTTACACGTGGAAGGCTGTAGAGCAACCCTGTACAGTAAGTCACTTAAAAACAACAATGCATAGACAAACAGAAAAACGCCTTATAATAAAAGTAAACATAACATCGAGCTACAGACCTGATGGCTGTTTACATTGTGGTGATTGTTGAAGACATTCAAAAATAACTTATTGCCTTAACACTTTTTCATACTAGAGAAAATAAAAGTAGAAATAAAATCCCCCCAAAAAGCTTCCACAGATATGAAGAATGTACAAACGACAATCATCCTGGCACGGCTTCAAAGATCCTCGGCCGACACGCTCGGCGTTAAAACGTCGCACTCGTTTCACTAATTTATAACCTGTACTTAAGACAAATTAAATATTCCGCCTGTCGCTAGAAAAACGTTTCAATTAACAAATAGTCATTTATTTTAAATCCCATTGAATCATTATTTTTAAGATAAAAAACAAAAACAAAGTTTACAAAGTCCAGTTTTTAAAAACCAAACAGGGAGTTGCCGTGCTAAATATTTAAATGTATGTTTTACAAACATCCCGCAGATAATAGTGCAAGAGATACAGCACAGTCAAAACTAGCACACAGTTCTGATGTTTGGCTTCATGTTTTCAGGTAGCTGAGAATTTGTAAGGGTGAGTTTAGTGTGAATGAGGAGTCGCAACTCCTGATCTTCTCTACCTTCTGATGAACAGCGTTTCAACTCAGAAAGCAATAAATTACATTTACAGCTCATCCCTTGTGGTAAGCTCATCCTACATTAAAAAAACAGAGCTGGCACGCGTTTGTTCTTATCGGCCTACTTAACTTTATGTACAATTTAAAATATTAAGGGTTTGCTTGTCACAATAACACAAAAAAAGGGGGAAATATTTGTCTGGGATGGAAATGCGTCTCTGTGATTCATTAATTACATTTTGTCTGGTAGTGTTATGTATTGCGCATTTCCTCACCGTTATATTGTACACACACTCACACACAAACAAAAGCCCCCCGACCTTCACGTGGTTCTCATTCATAAATATCATTGACTTTCCCAGGAGACGAGTTACCCCACACTGTGAACTCAACGTGAATGATTCACTTCAGGTTCGATGTCAGTACTCAGCATCAATTCGCCTGTCGATAAAATACTAGAGACGAGATTAAAATCTTACAGATCAGAAAACGGAGTGGATTCAGCTTTGTTTCTGTTCTTTTTTCTGGCTGATTGAAGAAAACGAGCAGCAGTTAGCAGCATGGGATGGATGCTGAGGACACCTGCTACAGCTGTGGTTGTGTGTGAAGGTCAGAGACTTGTGCATCGCATCGGTGTTCTTGGTGTAAACGTTCTAAATAATCACCATTTAACCCGCTGCTTTCTGAATGACCTCAGTTTGGTGAAATAGCTTCTAATTCCTCAAGGTTGATGAGCTAACAGCTAGTATAAAAGAAGCCAAGACCAAAGTGGATTGCTGCCATCCTAAAACTGTGCCAGCCTTCTAAACTTTGTAGGAAATCAAGCGACAGTATTTAGAAGCACAGAGCTTATTTGGAGCATCAATAAATGCAGACGAGCAGCGATTTTGTTTTCTGCCAAAAACACCATCCATCCATTACCGTCTGCTTATCCGGAGTCGAGTCGCGGGGTCAGCAACCTAAGCAGAGAGGCAGAGACTTCCCTCTCCTCCGTCATGACTGGGCTTCTCACCCTATCTCTAAGAGAGAGCCCAGATGCCCTGCAGAGAAAACTAATTTTAGCCAATTGTATCCACAATCTCATTCTTTCGGTCACCACCCAAAGCTCGTGACCATAGTTGAGGGCTCAGCTCTCTCTTCACCACGACAGACTAGAACGCTGTGATGCAACACCAATCTGCCCATCGATCTCATGCTCCACATTTCCCTCACTCGTGAACAAGACTCAGAGATGGGTTTCTGGCATGCACTGAAGACCGAGGAAAGGTTTATGTAACAATCTTTGCATGAACTTCTTTGAAAGTTAGGGCACTGGTGCTGTTTAAAGACAGCAGTAAACCACTTTTGAATTCAAGGGGTAAAAAAGTAAACTTTTACTCAGAATCACGTCTCAGTGTCTGAACTATCCCCTTAAATGGAAAATAACAGGCTGTAATCTGAATTTAAATCAAAATTTTAAACAATCCTGTTACACATTTATGGCCTGAATACAAACCGCTGTTGTTATGGAACGCAACAGGATGTTTTTATGCTCTTACTCCTTTTTTTAAAAGCATCTTTTAGGATTATTACTAACTTTCCAGTAACAGGACAGCAGTGAATAAACATGATCTCGAGTTAAACCCATACTTTCATTTTTTTTCACTGACCATTAGAACTAAATTGAGAGAAAATGAACCCATTTCCCTAGATTTGTTATGAACAGAAACATCCACATTTTAAACTCCAGAGGAACATGATTACTTCATGTTTCTGATAAAAGAAGCTCCTACTGCATAACAATAAAAGCCTTTAACACAACAGCTAAGACCCCCAAAAACCAGTCACATCCCTGTTAAGGTAAAAGCAGAAATACGTTAAATCTCTCTTTTGTGACACCGCTCAGGACCGGTTACCGGGCAGATTTAACACCATCCAACAACAACAATCTACCACCGCTAAACAATCTAACAAAATAAAATAAATCATCCACACAATTTACGAGTGTTTTCACAGACTGCCTTATTGTCAAGGCCTCAGCCTGCGGGGAGCCACTCGAGTGCATCTCGGGTAAAGGTGTGTCGAAGTGTGTGAGGACAGGATGACGTGTGAAAGGCTGAGTGGACTGTGAGACCAAACAAACTGCCTCTTTCCTCTCCTGCTCCTCCCCCTCGCTGACGGCCCTCCTCTCCTTAGCTCATCAGTGTGTTGTTTGTGCCGTAGCGTGTTGTTGTGGTTCACATAAAGAAGTGATTAGTATGTGTGTGTGTGTGCGAGTGTGTGGAGGGGGAAGCCGGGGTCACTGTCGCCGATCCTCCGTCTCTGACCTTGAGAATGCCATCACCACGTCCTCTGCACCTAGGACACACATAGAAAACTTTAATATGTGTTCTTTTAGTAAAACAGCAATGCAAAAATGATTATTTGTCAGCATCGCTATCGGTAGAGACTGATGATGGTCATTTTTAAAAATCGGTATTGGCCTGATGAGTAAAACTGAGCAGAAATTAAGAGCAGTAGCAATGATGCATCCATAAAAACAATAAATATGTACAAGGAAATGTCAATTTTTGACTTTAAACCATCTCTTTGTTGTAACTAAAAAAAGTTCAATCAGATCAGGGCTGGAGGTGTTTAAAAAAATCTAAACAAGTACAAATTACCAGGTGAAATTAACCCATCACACCTTATTTAGGCATGAAATAAGAAACCCACTGAACATATTTGCAATTATCTTTTATGAATCAAAACATGTGGTAATGAGACGAATTCCCAGGCAGGAAGATGAAGACAAATCAAAGTTCACTGAATCTTCTTGGGGTGGGAGATGTTGTCTATTTTTTGATGCAACACCATGTGGATGTATAATTCTGAATCATGTACAAGCATACAAAATCAATATTATTAATATGTGATGAAATGTGAAAGGCAGAAAACACAGCCTCCGACGAGTGTTGTGTAGTTTTTACTTATAAAGCATTCATTTACCAACACTTGGAAGTAGGGGTAGGTCGATATATCGGGCCAATATTTACCATTCAATAACTGATTCAGCTTCAGAGATTTTGTGCATTTAATGATGTTATTAGTGACATTTTGGCATGAAAGTAAGGTGGAAAATGTCTAGCTATCAGCCATCAGCTGATCATGTCTCCTACATATTGGCACCGGCAATAGAAAAACCAATAGTTGAACACTTAAAACATCTTTAAAAGAGAACTACTGTTTGAAAAATCTAAACTTTTATTGCTTGGTTAAAGTTTGCACAGATAAAGATGACAACAGGTAAAAAAAAAAAAAAAAAAAAAAAAAAATATTGGATGAATGATTGGCCAGGCACTTAATCATCGTACTACAGGCTTGTGAAGATGCTAAAAGGTGTTTTAACCTCGGCTTAAATAGGGTTTCTAGTAAAAATCAGTGTATTTTTCTGCTATCAGCACCTGAGTGTTCCAAACGATTATCGGATCACACTAAATGAAAGAAGCCATGTTTTCCGCTGCCCATCAGCGTTCTGTAAATTCAGGAAAGAAGACCCTGATGTGAAAATCCTTTTATGGATAAAAGGTGCATTCATCTAATCCAGGCTCGACCTGTTGGGAGTAAACCTGCCATCAGAGCCCTGACAGGAGATCCGGTAACACGCCGAGTGGCCCGCTGACAGCAGCATCCTGCACTGTCATAATAAAACTCATATCTGAAGCTTCGGTGCCATTCAACCCTCTAAGGCTGCCTGGGATGCCACAGCACAAGTTCTCAAACACACAACTGCAGATTAAAGGTATCCTCAGCTGATGATTATAGCTCCCCTTGTTTTGATTTGACTTGTGAATTCTGCCAAAAACACAATAAAACTGTCAGCTTCCTTTTGTTCAGGAAGCAATGATTCATTAGGTCCTCTCTAACTAATTTATCGAGTCATTAAAGCCGATGCACACCTGCCAAGAAGGCTCGTTCCTGTTTGCTGTTAAAAGCACAGTTATGCAGCTAATTCAGCTGCTCAGATGCCATTTTCTATTTGAGCAAAAACTCATTTTATTTCAGCACTTCAGTCTTTAGAGAGAACGCAGCACCATACCACACAGTGATGCAGTAGGTCAAGATGCTCTCAACGGTGCCTTTGTAGAAAGTACACATGATGGAGGCTGGTGCTTTGTGGAGAAAGTTGGCTAGTGCTACAGAGTTTTTAGTCCAGGAGAGGTCCTCTGTGATGTGCACACCCAGAAACTTGGTGCTGTCCACTCTCTCCACAGTTTCATCGTTGACGGTCGGAGGAGCATGCTGGGTGTGTATTCTCCTGAGTTCAACAACAATCTCACTAATGTCACTAATATCATCAGCTGGTGCTAGGGCTGGGTGATATGGCCTAAAATTATGATCACGGTATATTGAGGAGCTCACCTCGATAAATGGACGATAACTACGCAAACGCGTAAAAATTAAAGTCGTCCACTAGATGGGGCTGTCACATGCGTTAGGTAGCCACGTTCTCATGTGACTCCAGGTAGTAAGAAGGTATTTTGTTCGATGCCAGTATATAAAAAATAGTAAATATTGGCCCGCTATATCAGCTGACAGTCTACCCCTGGTCCAAAACCCATCCAAAAAATGTTATTTATTAAAATTAATTGCATGAAACTAAATATGTCGGATGCACAGAATAAAACTCTTCATCAATAAAACAGTTTATGAGACCAGAAGGCACGGGTGGAGTTTAAAGGTGAAGTCAATTTAAAATATATATTAAAGTGAGTAGAGAAATGACAGGTGTGATTGTCTACAGTCATCCTGTAGGAACACCTGACAAACTCCAGAATCATTAACACCAACATCCACACCTTTGGCGATGGCAGAGAAGAGTTTCTGACAACATCTTCATGCCTGCTTAAAAAAACTCTTCACAGCAGCTTTGGATTATTAGAGATGAGAAAGTAGGCCAGAGACTATGAGGTTCAGCACATGAAGAGTAGATCCTCCTCATTATTAGAGAACATTATTTAGAATTTTTTTATCCTTATTTCATTTAAATCACAGTTTCAAAACATTAGACTGAGTTCAAACATGAGACTCATAGAAAAGAGGAGGGTGTCCATTTGCAGGACTACTGAATCGAAACAAAAACTGGTGAAGAGGAAAAAATTATTTTGATTAGTTTAATTTTTATCCTCTAAGAGGCAAGATACATCTCCACCTTCATTTAAGAGCAGCTAAAAATAACTGCTTAAAAGATCATAATTCAGCAAAACAGCACATTGGATCATGCAAAAGCCTGTGTGAAGCTGTTTAGATCAACATCCTGGGCCAAAAACCTTAAAATACCTCACAGGCTGTGCTAAATATGAGTAAAACGTCCAAACCGCACCCTGATGCCAACAAACATGCACGCATGTTCTGAGAGAATACACACACAAAACAAGCTCCAGCCAACAAGATGGAAACATCAGGTCCCTTATTGCTGTTGCTTAGCGACAGATAGAAATCAGGCTGCATCTGCGGTGCTGCTGCTGCTGTAGCTTTGATACCACTCTGCTTCTGGCCGTTCTTTCCCCTTTCCATCTGCTTCTGGCTGATTCTCTCCTCGCCTGGCTGAGGTGAACGGGACGTCTCAAGAACGTGGATTACTCCAACAATAAGGAAATCTCATCAGATTCATCCAATATGTCGTTTCATAGAAAGAGGACTGAGGATTGTACAAATTGCCAAAAAAAAAAAAGAAAAAAGAGAGAGAATACCAGTATCTACAATCGAACTTTTGAAATTCAAAGCTCCAAATAAAGAATTATCCCCAAGTTATCAATTTCTTTGGGAAAAAAATACCCCCATCCCCAAAATGTTGTTTCCTAAATAAAAACACGTAAAGATGAAGCAGTAAATATATTTTTGTTGATGTTCTGGCTTCAGACCATACACCACAGCGACAGCAAATGTATTTTTTAAGCTTCAGAAAGACAAAAAAAAAAATCAATATGTGGTTTGCTTGGAATGAACAAAGAAACATAAAAGCTCCACCAAAACTTCTGAGGATAAGAAATCTTTTAATAACCTCAAAGGGAGCGTGTTTGAAGTGAGAGGCATCCAGCTGCGTCCTGCCCATCTCTGCAGCTCGATGGAGCAGAAAAGCATCCGTAGGACGGCTACGGCATCACAGCCATGCTGCACCGGCAGCATCTAAGGTCACAATCTGTGAGGGGGTCGGGGGGGATGAAGACGCTGAGAACAGCAGGGGTGACTTACAGCAGGGGATGGTGGGTGGTCCGGCTAAACAGACACAGTGGGGGCTACACAACCACAATCAGGGCCTCCAAGGATTCAAATCCATTATTCACAAACATTGGTGACATCTTAGTTTCAATATTAAATTTAAAATAAAAAACTAAACAAGGTCAGACGTGTAAACTTCCCAGTTTTTTGTTGTCAAAACTAACGTGCTCTCGGAGCCAGTTTGGGATAGTGCATCATCAACGTAATTAGCATTCTCTAAATTTAACCTGCGCTGTTCTATAAATGATACACGTCACAACAGCACCGAACACCCTGGGGAAGCGCAGCTTTCCTGGGACAACTCGGGTTGCTATGGCAACGCCTCCTCGTCTCTCCTCTTTTGCCGAGGCTCGCCGACATCCTTTAGGGAGGGTTCTACTTGAGTCAAATAGGACAGGGTTACCTACATTTAAAGGCAGTTATGTAACATTGTGAATCTAAATCCCAGGTTTAAATAATGAAACCATGTTTGTGTGTTTACATCTGGTCAAATGACATTTAGTTTGAGGAAGACCCGTAAAAGAAAAGGGTCTGCATTTTCTCCAACATGCAGCATCCTTGGTGCTGCATGTTGTTTATGTTGAGACGCTCAACAAGAACGCTGAATAAAGAATATCTCAGGTTTGGCTCATTTCAATTACAAAACACATTTCTGCGTTAGCATCTATGGTAATGAGCCAATTAAAACTAACCAACATGCAAATGCGGTGATCCATAGACTTATGAGAAAAATAACCATTATCATATTAGATTTTTAATCCAAAATATAGCTTTGAGTAACAAATTAGTCAGTAAAGTCAGCAAACTAATTTACTTATTAGAAATCTCCAGACAGGTGATTTATATTTTACACACAAAAATTGAGGAGCTCTAACAGACATTTCTGTTTAAGATTTCAAACACAACTCCACCACGGCTGCACCCTCAGTCACCTCTAAGTGAGACGCCACTTGATCAATGAGATTCGGTCTGATGCTGGACACCGAGACCTTCTGAGGACACAGCATCAGGCATGATCTGACTCTTTTCCGATTCACACCACGTTCGCTGTGAATAAAAGCTTTGATTCACACTCAGGAGGGAAATTTTCATTTGGT